GACGGGATAACGGCTCCTATTGGTGTGTACTCGAATAAAGACATGTGGGGGTATTATAATAATAATAATTATTATTATTATTCATTATCCTGATTTGGCGCCTTGAGGGCCATGCAGGTTTTTATCGGAAGATATGTACTTTAAGTAGAATGACTCAATTTGACGTTTAGAACACTCACACTCAGATTTCATTTGCAGATACCACTCGAGATTAACCCTTACGGCGTATAACCTCTTCCGTGCATACCCACCACAGGGAAAAGCGAGAAAAACCTGTGGCTATCCAAGTGTGCTTTCATCATCCCACAAGTACAATATCACCGCGAGAGAGAGTGGTGTGTGGGTCCGACTGGATTCGAACCAGCTTTCTCCTGTCTCGAATGGGGTAAGTGTTCAAGCTACCCAGTATCTACTTGGGAGAACGGCCCGGATGGCGTACCACTGCACTATCCAACCCCATGTGGGGGTATTACTGCTGGAAAGAAGTCGTGATGGAGGCATAGGAGGGAGTACACTACCCGAGATATAGATACTCCCGGCCTGTAGGCAGAAAGTAGCTATATGTCCTTACATAGCCATAGACTTCATAGGACAATAAACAAATACACACAAAAAGATTCTATAATTATTCCACTTAGGCTATCACAAGATCTAGCCCTCACTCCAACCCTAGCCTCAACAGGCTCGATCCAAGCTGGGGCATCAACTTAGATGATTATCTAACTGTGATCCTCTCAGATTTATTGAGAACTTTCCCTCGGGACTTCATCTTGCACGTTCCCCTTAAACACTGGTTCAAGAATGTCTCGCCATAACAATCATGGTCCTTATTACCAAGATAGTCCCAATTCCTTTTAAGGGAAAGCAGTTCTCCATCGAGACTAACCAGTCATATATCTAAATAAAAGCTTGTACGTATTTCTGAATTAGTCAGCATTGTGGCAAGATTATTTACGAATTAACCACATGTCTTAGACAGCAAGTTCTCGGATTTTTTCCCGAAAAATCGTATTACGTGACAAATATCTCATGGGCTTCTCCACATTAAAAATCATGGCATATTGTTATGCATTACATAGAGAAGCATTGACCTCAATATCCTCACCATTACATATATCAGAAAGGTCCGAGGGCCACATCTTTTTTTTGCATCAGATTTCAATTGCGTATGCAACTATCTAGCTATGACACAATATCAAAGAAGTGTATAATAGATGACTCAATTTAATATCAGAGCTCTCATGCCTCGCATTTCGTTTTCAAGCACCACTGCGAAGCTATGGCAACTTTTTCTTTACTCGAAGTTAACCCTTATCCGTGAATACCCACCCTGGGGAACGTCTCAAAATCCCTGAGTTATCCAGACATGCCTCCATCATCTTTCAACTTCTCTCCGCGCGAAATGTAATCTGAGATGTCTCCTTCCCAAGTGAAGTAGATGCTCGAGCTACTCAAATCATACCAGAGAACACCAACAGAAGACGTATCACAACACCTTCCATCGTCAGCTTGTGTTTATAGTGTCAGATGCACTCTCGCAAGCAAAGTCTTGACGCGCACAAAGCTCAATTCGTGAACCTCCTTGCCAAAATTGAGAATTCACTCCCTTCGAGGTTATATCTATCCTGCGTGTCGTCTTTTCAACTTGTCCTGATCCCTCTCACGCCCATCCCAAAGAACTGTCTCCCAGATTTGTGCGCCACGCTTTGTGTCCTCCGTCGGGTATAAGTATCGGCGTGGGCGTGTATTTGGTGGTCAACTGAGGCTAGAGAAGATCGGAGAGAGGTGTGGTCATAGGGATAAGGATGTACTAGGTCGTACTTGTAGACTTGATGAGACTTAGGTAGGCGATGAACTCGTTGGGAGCGGAAAAACGACGTGGATGAGTAATTTGATCTTTTGCCTCGCGGGCTAACTTCTTTGATATCGCGAAATTTGACTGAACTTGGCTCTGGGAGAATTTTTCACCCCCAGGTTCGTAGAGGACACCGCGTACAGGTGTTCAGTCTTGCCCTCCGAGGGCCACATCAATGTCCCCAAAAAGGCGCTCTATTGATAAATTACTCTGTAGCACGTTCTGGAACAAAATTTATCTCTATTAGATTGCTCCTTTTATCCCATGATAAATTGATACTTTTTATCCATATCAATCCATGATATCCTAAATACTGCATTTCGTAACTATCATAACCGATGACTTGTCTCCTTCCCTCGCCCTTTCCTGTTTCTTTGTTTCACACGCAAACACCAAGCCCCTTCCAGATATCACGATACTCCTAAAACAGGAGATTCAACGATGCAATGGCATGATAGATGCACATGCTTGGGTGCTTTCAAACTAGCAGGCTGCGAAAGGAATCGCATTGGCAAGCTATTTCACAAGGTAAAATGGTCACTGCCAAGTTACGATTCGAGTGTATGAATTGGCAGCTCATTAACTTCAGGTTGGCTGGAATTTTTGAGGTTGAAAACGCCTGATGTCATTTTCCAGTCATTAAATTATCCACTATTAACCTAGGTTATAGTCTGATTAGTGCAGCAATAGGTGCTTTTGTTTTTATTTACAGATCAACTGTCAGATTGAGGCTTTTGATAACCCTGCGATATGTGGAGGATCAAAGTAGCTGCTTTTGTTTGCTCTTTCCCAGCTTGAATCATCGCAACTTCATGAGTCCAAGCCGATGATTGGTTGCCTTTCCTATTTGTGAAGCATTCTGTATGAGTTCACCCAAAAAGGGAATAGCATGGCTAATCCGGGAAAAATTTCCCTACATATCCACAAGTTATAATCACTATTTTCAACTGGTACTGCTCTATGAACTGAGTAATTAGTCCGAAAACGACAGGCTAACGCAGCAAATCCAATAAAAATAGAATGTAAGTGTGCAAGATCAGAAGGAATGAATCGCCTACTCCAGTCTCAAGATCTTTGGGTGACCCATAGTCCCAAAGACGTGTTTTGCCATATTTTAGTTTAATACATTCCCATAGATTCGGCTAGGGTCTTATTTGGACTATTTGAATATTACATCATGAGAACGTCTTTTAGTACTCAACACTATCTTCTACGCATTTAATCTAAATCTGGAAGGTGCCAAAGACATCCAATATTCCGATGACTGCCTCCAAAAACATGTGCTTGCAGCCAAGGATCAAAGTGTATGGCTTGTGAACGAAATAGTAATCTGTTTCGGCCATCGCCATTACTACCAATAAATTTTATCCAAGTTTATTTAAGCGAACAGCTTTTCTTTAAATAATTTGCTTTTCTGCCGTAATGATCGAAACATTCTTCACATCATCTGGCATACGACAATTAGAACAGTTGGCTTCCTTAAGCACCTCTCAACTCTGAACCAACTAAGATGAATACCTACGTACTATCGCATATGCAGCACCAGACGATCAAAAGACCTATCTTTTAGGACTTGTTTATCTCTGATGACGGGAGAATTTGGCACAGTAAAACCCCTGCGAAAGATTCCTGGTCTCCGTACACTAAGAAGCTCTGTGGACTAGGGAATTAACTCAAAAGCAGAAATAATTGATTTAATATATTTATACATATATCTCCAAAAATATAGGAAAATAAACATCAGACGCTTTCAAGGATCTGGTCGAAATAGCTTTCTCCAAATTTTGTACATTGTCCATGTATTACCTTTTAAGCATCCTAAAAAGACTAGTAAAAAACACATTATTACGCGTGTTTGATGGCTAGCTTTACAGGCGGCGGTAATCATTTCGACAAAACGATTTTCAAAGTTTCACAGCAAAAATGTCAAAACCATATCAACCTAAAATCTCGGAAAATTTGGAGATCGGAACCCGTTTCCCTTGCTATGGACTATCGAATATCCCTATCGATTTCTAAGAGACAGTACAGCGAAGCATCATAAATTCGTAGACTTGTACAAGCTCAGTATCGGGGATTTGATGACAGCATTAATCTAAATTACACTGACAAAACCGAGCTTTGAAGTTTTGTGCCTAAATAAAAAAAATTGGGATTTGCTTAAAACGGATTCTAATCTATAGTGTTACCCAGTATTTGCCAAACTTTCACGGCCAATATCCTCCCATTCAGAAATACGAATATTACCTCTTATGATGCATCTTCACGAAAATTTTGGACCCTCATTTCATACCAAATCTGCTTTAGTAGGTCTAGGACCTTATTATCTAGTTTTTGCAACAATATCAGTATTCACTCCAAAAGTGTAGATCTCCTTAATCTTCCAACAAGCTTAAAAACTCATTCGATCGCTTGCCCAAAATGTGGAGAATTTTCTTAAATATGTTGAATTTGGCTGAAAAGAAACCAGATCTTTCCCCTTCAAAAAACTTCAAGCTTATAAACTTTCAAAGAACGCTTTGGATTTTTAAGAAAATACATCACATCTAACTCAGGCAGATTATTTTACCTCATGAATAGTAACTGTCCAAATACTTACAAATTTATCCATTAACGACGCCTTTATAAATATGCCTCAATATTAAAAGTGATAGGGTTTTTGGACATAAAATTATTTTATCACTTTCAACTATTTTGCAACAACTTTTCTAATTTGCACAACCTTAAATCGTTATTAACTGATAACTCAACCATACAAATTATTAAAACACTGAATTCACCTTTTTACTTCAACATGGACTACGCTCCAACAACAACAATTAGGAACGAAAATGGAGATGATTTATTCATAACTTTACTAAAGCAGCAAAACAGCACATCAACTGCTACATAGTCCTCGACCTCAACATCATCACCAAAAATGTGGAGAATTTTCAGTTCATATGATAGTTGACGCAAGTTTATCCAGGCGTTAATGGATGAGATTACAACGATTTGGACAGTTATCACCTATGAGGTAGATCAGTCTGCCTCAATTTGATGTGATGTATTTGCTTCAAAATTTAAAGCATTTTTGAAAGTTTTTAAGCTTGAAGTTTGTAGTTAGAAGGTCAAGTATGATGGGAAACAACCATGTACACATTGTATGTCAAATAATTTAGGTATGGTACTAAAGACACAGAATGAATTTACTCCACTAAATTGAAACCACAGTTTGTACTTATAATCAGCCTTCAAATAGACAAAAGAGGCTTAGTCTAAAAGAGTTCGAAGTGATGAAGAGGCGTCTACGTGAAGTCGAGACCTTGATCGACTCTTTCACCGAAAAAAGGGATGGTGATAGTTTGTACCCAGATACTCCCATTTCACGATACGACTCTAATTAAAATACATTAGATAATTCGCCACCCAGTACACTTCACGATAGCGATCATCAGGTACAAATGAACAATAGCTATCGTGAAGCGAATGAGCACCTAGAGGAGATAGTTCGCTCACTAGCTCCCGAAAATGGAACTCATTTTCAAAATGAGAACGCCAACGAGGGGCTCATTGGCGACCTGTCTGGTGGTTATTTGCTACAGAATACTAAGGACCAAGTGATGGAAATATCGCGCAAAGAAATTGGCGCAATATTCATGGAACGAAAGTAGAAGTTGACTAAAAGAGTGTCACATTCGGATTAAAGCTAAAAGTGTGGGAGATGTGCGCTACAAGTACAAGTGTAAGCGACATGTAGCCTAAGCCACAGCATAAACGAGCGTGGCGCCATCTATGCATAGAAACCCCCCAATAACCTCCTTGTGCCCACGCCATAGAGCCGCTCATATATCCAATTGGTAGCCTGAAGCGCTACGATATTACCTATTACAACCTCTTAAATACACACGAGATCGTGTCGGGAACTTAGAAGAAATAGAGGGCCCGTACGTCCACAACACTCCGTGTCTCTATTTCTATCACCAAGTGTGTGATCTTTTGAGTGATTATAAGACTGAAATAAGTTCAGATTTCATTCCAGAGATCTTCGTCCGATCTCACGCTGATAATATCTGTCCAACCTGCATCTTGGAAGCTTAGCTTAGGAGACTGTTTAGTGACTAGGGATGTAGTATAGAGATATAGAGTTGTACTAGGATACCCATAGAGGTTTGGCGTTGTGGAAGCATCGGTAACATTTACAATACTACTCGCTGAAATCTGCTGTGGAAAGTAAGGATTATATCATTTGAATTCATTGATTTTCTAATCTTAATTATTAACAACTTATATAAGTTTCAGTGAACCATCGACGTTAGAGCTATATCTGACCAGATAAACTTGTTGACAATAAATGATATCAGAACAATCTCTTCACATGCAATACCAGAATAATTACATCATGTGTGACATCTCGCAACCGAACCTTCCTATCTATTGGTTGGATAAACTAGAGAGCCATATGTTGAAATTATGGAGTTCAGAGATGAGTCAGGTGATGCTTAATGGAAGTAATTGATGAAGGGTTTGGTTGTTGAGTTTTCTATGATTTCTGTGTTGGGATATACTATGTCGATCCTACTAGACTCGATAATTAGTAGTCCCGACCGACTGGTGTTTGGCGAACGGAGATTGCGTATACCCTGTGTTAGCGTTATTTACTGCTGTTAACAGGAGATCCTGCATGGGCTATCTATTGGGATTAAAAGGAGTCTGGTACCTGTGTTTAGAAGAGTAGTCGAATTGACATCCTTTTATCCTTCATCATTGCATAAGCTTCCCTCTACCAATAAGTCCACGAACTAAGTAGTGGGCTATACACTTCAATACTTACCAAATTGAGAGACAGCAAAGACATTTATTGAAGCTGCTTTTAGTGGGACACTTTTTCTTTGTTGTTAACAACGTGCCTACTTTTTACGAGAAGTTCCGCAAAATATACATCCATCCTAGTAATAAACTGTTACAAAGACAGCCTTTCACTACCTCTTCTCTTCTCTATATCTTTTCAGGGTTGTAATCATTGAAATGAAATAACACTCGTGATATTAATAAAGACTTAATGAATTTACAAATATAAGTTTCCTATCTTATATACATCATCGATAGTCCACGAGCGATCCAGCTCTGTAGAGCCGACACTAATATCTTCTTCACGTGTTCTTTACTCGTGTCCTAAACGGAGCGGATGATCTATCTCCCTGCCTCTTGTTTAATTTCCGAACAAAGGGCATGACCCTCAGAATTAACTGGCATATAATTGTAATATTCAAATTTAAAATTAACCTATGAATTAAAGAGCTATTTAGATAGATTTTTAGGTAGTTTTTCACAGTCTAGGACTCAGTAGAGACTTAAATTTAAATCAATCAATTTCTGAAGGCCACTATCACGTGACCTGGATCTTCCATAACACATGTCATGCAGACTTCCAGCCTAAATGGTAACCACTAACAGTCAGGTGAATATGTGACCCATACGTTGAATTGAATTGAATTAGTCTCGTTTTATGTCCTATGTGGTATCTATATACAGAATCATGAAGACGGTAAGCCGCTTTGGTGTGGGAAAAAGCTTTCAACAAACAAATCCCGATGTCCTGCCACTCTGAACCGACCCGGCTTAATGGTGAGGACGTTTCTTTCAACCATAATTTTATAAACTTTCCCTAGAATTAGTTAAGTCCACATTCAATCAGACTAACCTTATGAAAAATTGAAAAGAGAAGGCGCCTCCTCATTCGGTGTTTGTCGCCGAAGTGTTCGAAGAGTTGGCCCTGATGGTGCTGCTGTCGTCGGGATTGTTGGTGCCACTGGGGCTTCGACTATCTTGCAAAGTTATCCCGGCCCTCTTTTGAGTCCTTCAACCTTTTTACTGTTGAACAAAGTAAATCCCTGATCATCAGTTGGTCTGACTGTTTGTGTTGGCGCCACCGTAGATTTTTCGTTCCATATTTCTGCCGTTCTTGACAACAGCTCCATCCGAGCCTTCTCCACACTTCCCTTGTAGACCTGGTAGGTCCGACACGCTGCTTTCTGCCACGAACGGTGCTCCTTGCCGCAGTCCACACAAGAAACCCTTTTCCTCGGACAGTCCCGAGTTTGATGAGCGCCAGCGCACTCACCGTACCTAGCTGCCTTTCAACACGACGCCTGCATGTGTCCCCACTGACTACAGTTGTAACACTTTTTAGCTGGGACCGTGGTGACCACACCTGCGCGGTGTAGAGCATGGCGTTCATAACAAGGCCGTTTCGAACCACTTCTGTCTGCATTGCCTTCGACGGGAGGCTTACCACAATTGATCCACGAGTGCGGCCATTTTTCTTTGACCGCTGGTGTTCCTTTCCGTCGTGTAACCACCTTTTACGACTAATAACTAAGCCTGGAATCCGTGCCTTCGTAGCCGTCTCTATCTCCCTGATGATGGCAAAATTGTTGGCATCTGTCAGGTATCCCGAGACAGTTGTGTATACGAGGACGTCGCTGTTATGCTAAACATGTCTCGACATATAAACTGCATCAACTTGCTTGATACATTTGTATATGTTTCGTCCAGAGATTAGATGTTACACTAATTAGCCTAATACAATGACTAGCCCAATGTACTGACTAGCCTAATATGCTACAGTCTCAACATGAATAGGCTGCTAGCTGAAACGGCGGGAGAGTCTTGAAGGAATCTTGGACGGGAATATATGTATCTTAGATTTCTAGCAAGTAAAGGGATATACTGTTTTTCTCTCATCATCTAGATCTATGTCATTTTTTACAACTGCACAGGACAGTCCCTTACATTCCTGATAGCATCTCTGCCCCCTTCAATTCGTGTCCGCAATGGGACACTGTTGACCTCGACTTGAAAATCTTGCCGCAGAATTTCGAATTCCATTGGTTGTCGCATATTTAGCGCCGCGTCTCTCTGGGACGCCCACTGGACTCATACCTCAGTATCGTTGCTCCGCATTTGACGAATTGCGTATGCACCTTGAATGTGCTCTTTTTCCTTTGCAAGCAGCTCTTGTGGCTGCAAGTTTTGAGCGCCGTCGATTGTTATTCGTACCGCTGTTTTTGTCATTTGGGGAGCCACGACCGACACATAACTCCTTGGTGTCGTCGCGCCCGAAACCACTGCTGGAGCAGCTTTCCGAGCGGGATCCGCGAAGCTTTTCTTTACGACTTCCTCTAAAGCCATCATCCTCTCCTCGATAGGAGACTTCTTCTGGGATATTTCCGTCCAGGCCCTTTTGTGCGCGTTGAAGGCCTTGACGGTCTCGTTCACGTCCTCCATTGAGGGTAGGTCCTCCTCATCCATCTCTCCCATCACGATTAATCAAAACTGTTTTAGTAGTTTCCCCAGGATTCCGAGGTTTCTATCCTTGTAAGCTGTCTGCGCTCCGCTGCCGTTGTTGGTTGAGGCCATTGACGTATTTTGCTACGCGTCGAAACCGCTGGATTTACCCACACCAGCACCCAAACTCGCCATGTTGGAGCACGGAAAGCGAAAAGATGAAAGGAGGGTAATGAAGATAAAATAATGATGATTACGATAACAAATTGAAGATACGGGCTGCGTGAAAAGCTGCGCAGCTTTCTGGCAAAAATGATGTTTTTGACCCATACGTTATTTATCCCGTTGTTGGAATGTATGTCTTTTACTAGGTGCTTAGTGCGGTGCGTCTCTCTGTTTCCAAGTCATTGTCTTCATGACTCAGCCAACACCGCGATCTGGACGTTCGCAGTGTTCACAGATAGAAACAAGAACTACAAGAATCAATACCTCACTTTCGTACCTTTCGTTTTGCATCGAACAAGCCTTACGTATACGTAAAATAAGGCCAATCGACACCCGTAAAAATATTTTATATTCTAGGTCTCAACAGTAATTTTCAAAATAAACGTCATAGGCCGAGAGATAGGATAAAAGCAATATAGTGTGGTGAAGAGTAATCTTAATACCAATATTTTATTCATGCAAGTATTTAGATGAATTATGAAACTAAGTCTTGCTAAGTTATGCATATTTACTTTTGCAAAAAGCGCCATAGATTTTTTGGGCTGTGAAACTATCTCATAGCAGCAATAGTAATTGTAGATTAACATATATCTTCATTCTTTTGATATTTAACTGAAGAAACACTTTATACAGCAATTATTCCTCTCTCTTGACGACCTTCCTAAAAATACATCTTGATACCCATCCAAGTAATTACTCATTTTTGAAAGATAATATATGAATTAAATTGAACTTTCCACACAAGTTTGCTGTAGATACGTGAAGCTGTATGAAACTGAATGATCTTACAACGCACGTTGTTATTATGAATTCATACCTATGCTAGTTCTGGTAGGGCTGCAAAGCCGTTTTACTGGCAAGATATTGCTTTAGAGGGTTTAGGACAGACGATGATAGGTCAATATTAAAGTGGTAAAACTGAGTAATTGTAGGTGGTACCGGGTAGTGTAATGCAGTACGATAAACTGTTGTTCAACGATTCTTCTATTTCGTAGTTGCTTTAAAAGGGATACAATATTATGTTACCGTTTGGTTTGGTTTATTATTTTACATCTATCTGATACAAATTCTTAGTAGGGCATGAGACACCAAAGTTTACTGCTTTGAGTGCCTGGGGCCTTCAACGGTCCAAACCTAAATAGTCAAAGCCTTTAGTTTTTATGTGCAAAGGATTATGTGGGAATTAACCAGCTCTATAGCTTTAAATAAATTTGCGGTAATGTTTCTTGGGCATTAATACTGGAATAAATAACTATCAACATATTTGAGTTGGGTGATAGAGCCGGAGTATAAAATCCGTCTGTGAAAATTTCTAGTCAGCAATATTATGGTAAGATTCTAGTCTATGCCGGGGGCAGATTTTGAATAGATTTCTGTGTCTTGCAGGCACTGAGTCAATTTTTTCGCTCCATCTTGGCTAGCAAATAGATACCTAACGTCGTCGCTGTAGCTCCTTGGGGCTTTGGAAAGTCTTACTGAGGGAATGTGGCAGCTTTGTCGAACCTTTTGAGCTGGTTCGGAAGCTGTAATGATTGAGACTAGAGGTATCTGGAAGAATAGCTCGCACAGGAGCTTTCAATTGAAGTAAGTAAAAAGATGTAATTGTCTGCCTGTCTGTCTTCCTTCCTCTATCTCTCAGCTTATATATCTACACATATCTACTACCTGACGTAAGATGATAATATCTAGAAATAGCTTCCTTACATCACAGGACACAATCCAAACATGTTGTAGCCAAGATGTAATCCTAAACCGACTCAATTCCAGTCCACCGCGTCTATTACACGGACGCCAGGGGGACTATTCTCAACACCTGTCAGTGGTGTCCCCTACGAACCTCCAGCTCTCACTGTAGAGTCTGCAGAGCCGAGAATGAGTAACAATGTCCTCGCTTCGACGAGGATTCCCAATCGCTTTCGCGGTCTGTATCGTCTTCATCTCTCGACACATTCCCCCATCACCATTATTATGAAGCTAACCACGATCAGATCTGATGGTAGGGTCGGAGCCCTACTCATCACAAACCCTTGATCATGGAGGAGAAGCCATCCGATGAGTTTCCGGAGCGTATCCAGCACCTGATTTAGAAATGGTGGATTGGATCAAGATGGCCTCGACTGTTACAAAGAAGGGAGATATAGATGAATATGCGCAACGGATGTGGCCTTGGTGTCTAAGCCTCGCATGGCTGGGGCTGAAGGTTTTTTGAGACTTTTTCCCGCGCACGCAGTTTCCAAGATAACATATTTGTTCATTTTTTTGGATACAAGGTTCCGTGAAAAAGGTGGCTGAATCCCACGGGTAAACACTGAGCTTATTGACTATTCATCACGGGCAATATGTCAATGATCTTACAAGTAACCAAAGAGGCGAGAAGCACTGTAAAAGGTGTGGACTGTGCCATAGAGGAGCCCAATGTGCTAGATAGTCATAAACTCAAGTAGTGCAATAAAAACACATATACACACTAGCAAAGAAATAAATGGCTGATCTTATCTCCATAGCTCAATTTGCGCGAAAATGAATTATCTCGTCCATAGGTTTACGTGTATATTAAGCCAGTGCCAGACTTCTCCCGCAGATGACGTGATTTGAAGATAATAGAAAAGAGTTTCTTGTCACAATCGGAAACATCCTGTTCGAGTGCGTGTAGTTGCTCACGTGCTGAATCGGGAAATTTACTGTCTCACATAAACTCGCATAGGATATTCGACCATGCAAGGCTAGCTCCAACTGAATATTTTCGCTAGAAGCTGGTAATTTTGACGGATTCAGGCAGATCGAATCAAGTTGACGTAAACCATTATCCTTCCGTGAGCATGAAGCTTAATACATGTCACGTAAAAAAATTCTTACCTCTTGCCACGACAGTCGTTGACGAAGTCTTGGCTATTCCAGATTGCTTGCTCAGCATATCCTGTTTTACGCGCGACGCACCACCAGATACTTCAGTAGATCCACTTGGAAATTATGTCGCTTTATTATGAGGCTGCCAGCCTTTTTGCCAATCCTAGCACGTCTGGCAGCCTACGATCACAAATCTTCAAAAACCCTGCTTTGAAAGCACCCCCAGCACAAATATACGCTTTGGCAGTGCAGACGTGCAAATGGAGCTCTGTCCTTCGAGAAGTCATTGAAAATGCCAATTTTTTGAAAATAGAACGGAAGGTGGGTCAAGATACTGCAGGGCATCTCGAATCAACTCGTCTGCGTGGAGCTCTCTTATGTCATTAACGAGCCATTTCAGGTCACTCCGACTCTCTCACTTTTCTTGGTGCACGACCTTCTCTTAGCAAAAGGTGGCATTGCTTTACCGACTTCGCATGGTTTACGAAAGGCCGTAGAAAGACATAGAGCCAGGCTCCAAGCTGAGTTTATCAGAGCAAGGGTTCGTCGAAAGTTAGTATCGCTCGAGGCTTTCAGAGAATTTGTAGAAGCTGGATTAAACACCGAAAGCAGTAGTTTCGAAGCAATACGCCCGAGGTGGGTCCGAATTAACACCCTTAAGAGCTGCCTCGAGGATCAGCTAGATACAACTTTTTCGGGTTACAAACGTGTACTTCGGGTTCAGGAATTAAGCGAGAGAGGCCAAAAACTACTCTTCATTGATGATCATATACCGAATTTGGTCGCGCTATCACCGGGCTTTGATGTAGTGAAGAGCGATGCATACAAATCAGGAGCCATCATTTTTCAAAATAAAGCTTCTTGCTTCCCTGCATATTTACTAGACCCTTTGCCCACAGATGGTGATATCATAGACACCTGCTCTGCACCTGGAAATAAGACAACTCACATTGCAGCTATTCTATCGTCGCATGAACCCAGAGGGACCGACTGCTCACAGATAATTCATGCCTTCGAGAAGAGTAAAGCTAGGGGGGAAATACTGGAAAAAATGATTGGCTTGGCCGGCTCAAGTTCTTGGACTAAGATTCACTCTGGAGAAGACTTCTTGAAAATAGACCCGAATCTTCCAAGATTTCAAAACGTTGGTGCCCTTTTACTGGACCCCAGCTGCTCTGGGAGCGGAATAACAGGCCGAGACGAGATGCCAAAACTGCACATTCCACTCATTAATCCAATTCCTTCAACCAGAAAATCAAGCAGTCAGAGCAAGATTTCAAAAGCCCCCGAAGCGGGTAAATCAAATTTGAAGCGAAAACGTGAGGAATCAGAGGTACAAGCTATTGTCGATGACAATGGGAGTATAACAGTGCCCGACTCTGAAGAAGAGCTTGAGGCTAGACTAAATGCCCTTTCCAAATTTCAACTCGAACTTCTTATTCATGCATTTAAATTTCCAGCTGCACATAAGATAACATACTCGACGTGCTCTATATATGCGCAGGAGAATGAACTTATCATAATGAAAGCCCTAGAACATCCTGATGCGAAAAGCAGGGGATGGAGAATTCTTAAGCGAAGCGAACAGGTTCGCGGTATGCGGAACTGGCCTGTGCGAGGATGCCATAATGCGTGCAGAAACAATGAAGAGCTCAGTTCAGCCTGCATTCGAGCCAATAAAGACGATGAGTATGGTACAACAGGTTTCTTTGTCGCTGGGCTTGTACGTGATGAAGCGGTCAGAGTTGAGACCCAAACGCAGATTTCGAGAGGTAAAAAAGGAAGTCAACACCTAGAGAGAAGTGGCACATTGGAACTCTGTGATGCGCATGATATAGGGTATGAGCAAGAATGGCATGGTATTAGTGACGACTAGTCATAGGAAATAACTTCCGCACCACAATCATAATTTCCATGAAATTTGATTATATTATTAGCCGATAATTATTACCAGCTACGAATGAAGTTTAACAGGCTAGGCCTGGTTGGTTATGGCTGGGCTGTTTAAGACTATAGGACCCATCCTCATCTTGTGGGCGCAAGCGAGTTTGTAAACTCACTCACTACACGGAAGTTGTTGACCAGAATCTTATTCTGTTTGGGTTACATGTTAGTGAATTTATGTCTATTTATTCTGGTGAATTTGCAAGGTGGTATACACTTGAGTTATATATCGGAGATGGTGGAAAGCCGGGAAGGGAGAATGTATTGACCGGAGGCCGAGTTAGCTTTGGTAACTCGGATGAAAAAGATTTAATGTCATCAGCTCTTAACATGGGGTCGGCATTGTCAAAGCATTCAAAAGTCAAGTAGTCTAGATTTGGGACAAAGGGTGAGATCAGAGTTTGGGAATTTGATGTACATACGTAGAGATGAGACATAGCTCGAGAGACACGCACAAGAACTTCTTTTCTCAAACATCCTGACCGAGTCTATTTCATTGACAGGAGTTTTATCAGGTCACGTATAGAGGGCCGGGAGATCTGAAACAGGCATTGTACTTATAAAGAGCCGCAGCAACCCCCTTCTGAATTCCCCACAGATAATATAAAAATCTTATCCTGGCACTGCTTTCGCGCATTGGCCGAAAATCTTGGCCCGTCACACTAAGTGTCTCCATCACAGACATGCCGAACCTAGGAAGTCATGGTAAATACAACGGAAAGTTTTATGGGACAATTACATGTCACGCTTACACGGTGAACCTGCATTGAAGCAATAGCCGACAACGCTCGATTGCGAATGATCAGCTTAGACGCAACATTCACTATGTGTTCCTGTCAGATTATCAATATGCAATCCTGATAACGATAAACAAGTTATGCGACTCAGTCCTAATAGCATATCCACGAAGTCAGATTCGATTTTTTGATACAAATCCTTTCGCTGAACAGCTAGACCAACTTTGCTATCAGAGGCTAACAAATGGAGATGGCTTATATATTTCGATGGGGCTTGCACGAAGCTGTCCAGGCACTCACGTCGAGCTAAGTAGTAAACTTTCTTTATCGAAATCCCCGATAATTTGGCAGAATCTTCACGATGGGACATGATGCATTATTAGGAAACTTGGTAACCTATCCTGTAGCAGGAAAAGGGAATTTACGGGTATCAACTACCCAGTAGAAAGAAGTTGATTCTTCTTTGTGCCTCGGTCCCCAGAAATTGTCTCTTCTCGAAGTGGGCCGTGCGTTAAACTAGCTAATTTACAGTACTTTAATATTGCATCCAGGAGGGCAAGACTGAACACCCGTACTCGGTGTCCTCTACGAACCTGGGAGTGAAATATTCTCCCAGAGCCAAGTTCAATCAATTTTAGCCATATCAAAGAAGTTGGCCCACGAGGCAAAAATTTAAATTACTCCACCATGTCAATCTTTCACTCCCAAAGAGTCCGATTCTCAACTAAGCTTCATCAAGTCTACAAGTACGACCTAGTACATCCTCATCCCAATGACCATACCTCTCGTCGACTTTCTCTGGCCTCAGCCGGTCTCCAAATACACGCCCACGTAGATATTTATACCCTAAGGAGGAAGCAAAGCGTGCCGCACAAATCTGGGAGACAGTTCTTTGGGATGGACGTGAGAGGATTCAGGAAAAGTTCACAAGATGATGCGAAGGATGGATACAGTCTCGACGGGCGTGGAATTTTGAATATTGGAAAGGAGTTTTTACAAATTGAGCTTTGTGCATGCCAAGTCTTCGGTTGCGAAAGTGTCGGTGACACTACAAACACCGACACCGCTGGATGGTGCGGTGGTACATCGTCTTGGACGGTCTGCTAATTAGAGTCTGGATAGCTTGGACACATATTCCACTTGGGACAGCAGATCGCTGGTTCAAATCCAGCAAATCACAACCACATTTCTCGCGGCGCTGGTATGCATGAATGACTAAGGCATGCTTGGATAATCAAAAGTTTCGAAATTCCCTTTGGTGGGTACTTATGGAGGAGGGTCGACTGTTTGTGTAAGCAAGCATACCTCATAGTGGTATTTGCGAATGAAATCCAGAGTATGAGTGTCTCTAACGTCAAAAGAGTCATCCAAAATTTATACATAGCACCGGTCATGTGTCATAGCTAGATAGCTGAATACACATTAAAGGTTTTAAAAAAAAACGCTAGCACAGGGTATACGCAATCTCCGTTCGCCAAACACCAGTCGATCGGGCCGGCAAAGACGAATTCTTCACCTTCTAGTGGTGCCGGTGTAATCGCTCAGTATGCTCTGCATGTCTGGGATAGCCAAGAAGAATCGCATCCGAGTCGAAGTCGAAAGCAAACACATGCCTTTCTATTTGACGACTTCTCAATCATGCAGCACTCATCATTATCTTCTGAGTCCTCAACCCCGATCTAACCATATATCATCTAGCCTCGCCGACCGATAAAGGAGTTACCCCAATTGCAAACAGGAGCTTGCCTCATTCATTACCGGCCATCACTCACTACAAATTTACGATGCTACGTATACCCGCAAGGAGGAAATCAAGTCGAAAAATACAAAGTTGGGGTCTTGGTTTATGGGGGACTGCTGCTCTAATGGGGTTATACATCTTGAGGAAGGACAAGCGGCTGAGATGTGGAGCGAGAGGGGAAAGAGGTCTCTGAAGACCATGTTGGGACTGACATTTTCGAGGAGTTTTCAATTTTGGATTTTTTGTGGGCGCCAAGACCAAGATTTCGGCTAATTAGCCAGGAGGGCTTCTTTTGTCGATGAGTCAACGGCACTCCCCAGCGCCCTGGACGGTACAAAAGAAGTTAGGCTAAGCTATCATACAGCAATCACGCTCTGTCAAGACTTTTCTGACATTTCAGCACGACCTTCGGGAAGGAGTTTGAAGGAGTTTGAAGGAGGCTAGAAAGCTAGAGGGTGAATTTTACATGGTACCCACAAGTCTGCAGCGCCCAGCTGGCCGGCCTCTTCGAACGCTTCAGAAGGGGCAATATATCTTCGGATTTAGTCCTGATGTCGGTATTAGAAGAGCTCCGCACCCAGTGGTTTTTGCGAACTTTCCCGGCTGCCTACACCCGCAAATGGCCATCGTTTCGTTGGCTGGAGAGGGGAGTTGATGAAGAGCAAAAGGCTCCTCTAAGTGTGTGATCAAATGAGGACTTGTCAGGGGTGGTACCGTTTGAGGGAAGCTGTATGGGAGGCATAGGAGGGGATATACTACTGGTATAGGTATTCTTGGCCTGTAGGCAGAGAGGACCTGCATGTCCTACATAGTCATAGACTCAGACAGGATAATAAAATGAATTAATAAAAAAAATACAAGCGACCCAGGATGTCCCTGCATTAGGAAATACGTAGTTCCATTTTGACAGACTGTGAATATTATCAATGAATATCTTCATCAAAGCTCACCCTTTAATAATTTTAGGTGGCCAAAAACATTTTCAGGGCTTCCCATATATCTCTCCTCTATCTTTGCCCAGTTAACGACTTTCCAAATTTCCTTAGCATAGGCGGCCTTGTTGTTTAGATACTGTAAATAATATGCATGTTCCCAAAAATCAATGCCTAATAAAGGTTTTTTGTTTCCCGGAACAATCTCCTGGTCTTTAGTAGTAATGATTTCAAGGGTACCACTTTCTATGTCCTGCACTAACCAGCCCCAACCACTTCCTTTGAGGCCCAGCAGTACAGTAGTAAAGCTTTCTTGAAAACGCTCGACAGATCCCCAGCGTACGGCTAGTGCCGCTGATATTTTCGGTGATGAGCTAATCTGCGCCGTAGTAGATGTGGCTGGTGAAAGATTTTCCCAAAAGAGAGTATGGTTTATGTGTCCACCGGCATTGAAGCTTATAGCTGCTTGTAGATGTAGATGAGAGACAATATCTGAGGATTTCGTTAAAGCGTCAAGGGTTTCCAATGCATTGTTGAGGTTATTAACGTAAGTTTGGTGATGCTTCGTATGATGAATATTCATTATTTGACCACTAATATGTGGCTCTAGTGCCTATGTGCCAACAAAATTAGTTTGTCAAAGGAGAAACGTATTTATTATTTGCTAATCTTACATCGTAGGCATATGGGAGTGGTGGAATACTGTATTTTAGGACCATATTGTTCTTGTGGTATCTATAGAGCCTTTTGAGGATTATATGAAGGTCAGACTGAAACTGCCCAGCAAGTCTCTGCTCTTATACTAATCATACTGCTTGATATTACCCCTCCTGATTAGTAATCACCATGACGTCTACATGATAGGTACATGACCCAGTTTTATCGCCTCGTACCCTTAGATTCGTGCAAGGATTACCTGTTACCACCAGTTATACGTAAAACTACTTTTTTTCACTCTCTGGTCGTGAGCACCACAGAATATCTAGGTCATTTTGTATGTATAATTAAGAGTTGCCGGTAAAGACGAATTATTCGCCTTCCAAGGCTGCAAGTGTGCATTTGTCTTTAATTGTACTACCTGAGTCTATGACTGCCTAGCACATTTGGCTCCTCTCTAGCTCAAGCCACATCTTGTACAGTGCTCCTATCCTCTTCTGTTACTTGAAAGATCATTTTTGTATTGCCCATTATGAAAAGCTGTCGAATATTTTGAGCTGGTTCGGAGGCTTTCATGATTGAGACTGGAGGTATCTGGAAGAATAGTTCGTACAGGAGCTTTCAATTGATGTAAAAGCCGGCAAAGACGAATTCTTCACCTTCCAGTGGTGCCGGTGTAATCACTCAGTATGCTCTGCATATCTGGGATAGCCAAGAAGAATCGCATCCGAGTCGAAGTCGAAAGCAAACACATGCCTTTCTATTTGACGACTTCTCAATCATGCAGCACTCATCATTATCTTCTGAGTCCTCAACCCCGATCTAACCATATATCATCTAGCCTCGCCGACCGATAAAGGAGTTACCCCAATTGCAAACAGGAGCTTGCCTCATTCATTACCGGCCATCACTCACTACAAATTTACGATGCTACGTATACCCGCAAGGAGGAAATCAAGTCGAAAAATACAAAGTTGGGGTCTTGGTTTATGGGGGACTGCTGCTCTAATGGGGTTATACATCTTGAGGAAGGACAAGCGGCTGAGATGTGGAGCGAGAGGGGAAAGAGGTCTCTGAAGACCATGTTGGGACTGACATTTTCGAGGAGTTTTCAATTTTGGATTTTTTGTGGGCGCCAAGACCAAGATTTCGGCTAATTAGCCAGGAGGGCTTCTTTTGTCGATGAGTCAACGGCACTCCCCAGCGCCCTGGACGGTACAAAAGAAGTTAGGCTAAGCTATCATACAGCAATCACGCTCTGTCAAGACTTTTCTGACATTTCAGCACGACCTTCGGGAAGGAGTTTGAAGGAGTTTGAAGGAGGCTAGAAAGCTAGAGGGTGAATTTTACATGGTACCCACAAGTCTGCAGCGCCCAGCTGGCCGGCCTCTTCGAACGCTTCAGAAGGGGCAATATATCTTCGGATTTAGTCCTGATGTCGGTATTAGAAGAGCTCCGCACCCAGTGGTTTTTGCGAACTTTCCCGGCTGCCTACACCCGCAAATGGCCATCGTTTCGTTGGCTGGAGAGGGGAGTTGATGAAGAGCAAAAGGCTCCTCTAAGTGTGTGATCAAATGAGGACTTGTCAGGGGTGGTACCGTTTGAGGGAAGCTGTATGGGAGGCATAGGAGGGGATATACTACTGGTATAGGTATTCTTGGCCTGTAGGCAGAGAGGACCTGCATGTCCTACATAGTCATAGACTCAGATAGAACAATAAAATGAATTAATAATAATAAACTCGCGATCAATGTATTGAAATAAGAACATAAAGAAGACTTGGCTTGACATTACAACATATATCCGACGAACTTAGCTTCACAAGAAGGCAAGTGCAACTTACGTGTGCTCAAGAAACAGAGAATCCTAAGCCTCGCAAAAGATGCTTATTGTTGAATTATAAGATTGTTGGTCAAACATAATCATTCCTGTGCCTGATCATAATGGAATTATGGTTGTATTTATTACTTACTTAGGAGTATAGAGGGTAAGGCGTTTGGAGATCTTAGATACCCTGTATTAGTAGTTCCGTATTAGCGCATAGACGATGCTGGCAGACACATATTAATAGGAGTATGGGCGCAGCATTGAAGGATGCTGCGATCGCGAGAATCATACACGATAGATTAACTCAATACTTTATCAATTCTACTTCCAGTACTTACGTACCACTCGTATACAAGAATCTCATTCTAATACTTATCTAAGTTAAGCGCGGAACAAGTTGATGAGCTTGAGGCTTTCGTCCGGGAATCTCCTGAAAATCGACAGATGTGCTATTTGGAACTAGCAATGGGACCCTTCAGCCACTGGGAATGCAATGAGCATCAACTTTCTGATGCCGTCAATAAAAAAGTTTACAGCAGATGCATTGCTCGGAAAAAGCTTCCGTTAAGTGCGGTTAACATGCACGAAAGATGTATAACAGTGATAAAGGAAAATGGAGGGTACACAAAGTATTAGGATGGAGCAGAATTATACAAAACATGAAGTACGCTTTTATTTTAGTTACGAGCCATACTGAGGGCTTCGATGTATACTTTTGTAATACAGAGCAATTATTTTTGAAATAGATGTGTATTTTTAGAAAATATCAATTGAATTTGAATTTGAAATCTTTTACGTGTCAGGAAGAACCTAACATCTATTTAGATAATACCTGTCGGTAAAAGGATCACATTTGAGTAGTGTGAATTGTTCTATGTATTTGCGATATTCAGGTTGTCGTTAGGACACTGGCAGGGGTCTGATTTAGCTCATTAGCGAGGCGCTTGGAGTAGAGGAAGGAAGGGGAGATGGAGAAGGAAAAGGAGAGACAACGTTTGATGTATATGGAGATACCAGTTAATTGATATTATTCACCGACTTCGTGACGGACAGCTGACTTCGTGACGGCACCCAATTTGTATTACTTCGTGTTTTACCAACAATACCAATTGAAATTTTTTAATTTTTAATTTTAAATGAGGACCATTGGACATTTGTGGAGGGCAAGACTGAACACCTGTACGCGGTGTCCTCTACGAACCTGGGAGTGAAACATTCTCCCAGAGCCAAGTTCAGTCAAATTTCGCAATATCAAAGAAGTTGGCCCACGAGGCAAAATTTAAAATTACTCCACCACGTCGTTTTTCCGCTCCCAACGAGTTAGATGCCTACCTAAGTCTCTTCAAGTCTACAAGTACGACCTAGTACATCCTCGTTTCAATGACCACACCTCTCTTCGACCTTCTCTGGTCTCAGTTGACCACCAAATACACGCCCACGCCTATATTTACACCCGACGGAGGAAGCAAAGCGTGGAGCACAAATCTGGGAGATAGCTCTTTGGGATAGACGTGAGGGAGATCAGGACAAGTTCACAAGATGAAACAAAGGAAGGATATAACCTCGAAGGGCGTGAAATTTCAAATTTTGGCCAAGAGTTTTTACAAATTGAGCTTTGTGCGCGCCAAGACTTCGCTTGTGAGAGTGCAGCTGACACTATAAAAACAAGCCAGCGATGGAAGGTGACGTGGTCCGCCTCCTAGTGGTGTTCTCTGGTATGGTCTGAGTAGCCTGGGCACCTACTTCACTTGGGAAGAGACACCTCAGATCACATTTCGCGCGGAGAAAAGTTGAAAGATGATGGAGGCATGTCTGGATAACTCAGAGTTTTTGAGACGTTTCCCTGGGCGGGTATTCACGGATGAGGGTTAACTTGGGGTGAAGAAAAAGCCACCATAACTTCGCAGTGGTACTTGCAAAATCTGAGGCATGAGTGCTTTTTTACGTTGAATCATCTATGCTGTATCTTTCTTTGATATTGTTTTTATTTATTGTTTTCTATTTTTTGAGTCCTAGGATATACCCGTTTTTCCCTGAGGGTCAAAGACGGGGATTTACAGCTAAGATCATATCTATGACATGCCCAACTTGTTCCCACCACGTGAACCGCTACTCAAATTGTAGCCAGTTAAATTACATGCAGCCATATACAAAATAGAAATCACAACATAACTCCAGGCTCCAAAACTTTGAGCTCCAACTAAATATCAGCACTTGTGGTTGGGAAGCAAAACTTCTCGCCTTGTTCCCCTTCCGATCGAGTCATGTTACTTGACTAATTTATACGGACCTCGCTGAGAGCAGAGGTCCAGGCTGCAGCTGACCACCCATAACATCGGGTTTTCTGTGCAAAATTTTTGAATGCCTCGAGGCACTTGGGTCCTAGAAGTTCATGTATAAAGTCGTCGTGGGACTTTAGTCCTCGTATTCAACGTGTTTCGTGAGAGTGGAGCCGACAGTGGATAAAGTGGGTTGGGCTAGTCTATTTCCAACACGCGCACTCACTAGGTGCGTCTGCATTGTTGAATCGGCGATGATAGGCCGCAAAATTGCCGTGGCCCGTACGGGCCGCAATTAGTTCGCGTAGCAGATGCCTTGATAAGGCTAGTTCAGGGGGCTTGCCCCGTTTCATAAGCAGATCTAGCTTTCGATACCGAACAGGGCACGCTTTATCCCACCAATCGTTGAGCAAAGCCTGTAGCCGGTTATACATAAGATGGCGAAGGTATGCCAACGAAATGGTTTCTGGCTGGTTGTCCGGACTGGGCAGCATTCGTAAGCCGAGGCGCGCAGTTTCGTCTGCTTCTTCGTTCCCTTGTATTCCAGAGTGACCGGGGATCCACAGAATCGTCATAGCAGCTGACGCTGAGAGTATGCGAAACTGACGTACCTCTTCGAGGCTGTTTGAAGAGATGCCCGTCTCAAGTGCTTTAATAGCATGTTGACTATCCAGAAAAACATTCACTCGCCGAATCGTCTCCCCCAGCTGCTGTTGCGCTTCTTTAAGTCTCAACGCCGCCTCAAGAGCCTTCAGCGCCCCTGTGATTTCTGCGTCCAAGACCTCTCCTCCGTGTCGGATACCATTCTCCTTGAGAAGAGTTTTACCATATCTTTTCACAACAAAACCCCAAGCTGAACGTCCGTTTCCCTACGAAGAGCCGTCTGAGTAGGCGCAAATTTCCGATGCGGGCACGTTGTCTATCCAAAGTTTGCTTGCTTCTTTTCCTTCTGACTT